CTATAGCATGGTGTATTTTTATTTGTTTTGTTAATAAAAGTTCTATGTTTTATATATAGGCTAAAGTGAGTTTGACGTTGTATTTTGTTGTTGCATTCAAGCAATTTACGCGGAACTGCCGTTAATTCAAAAGTGAAAGTAAAATGCGCACAGTGCTTTTAAGCTATTTAAAAGCGAAGGAAAGCGAGGAAAAGAGGAGAAATTCAAACGAACAATTGCTTTACTCCGAATTGTCGCTATTTTAAATCGAAAGTAAAATGGGCACACCGGTTTTACAAGCTATTTAAAAGCGAAGGAAAGCGAGGAAAAGAGGGAATGCCCCGCCCCCGCGGTGATACCGGTATTACCGGTGTTGTCACACGCCGATTAACTCTTTGTTTTATCATTCAAAATGTTTATATGTTCTGTTTACTCAGTTAACTTACATCTATAATAGCCATGCCTTTGTCCATATAAGGGATTTCCTGGAGGGTCATGAGTTCTGCTACTTCTGTGACTGGATATGTGTTCTGTGCAACGGCACCCTCTGGCGTCCAGTATGAATGAAGCAGACATCATGTGTTTATAGTGCTAATGGCCAATCCATCATTTTTTGGGGAATTTTTATTAATTTATTTTTTAATAAGTATCGGTTCAGGCACCATTTAGGCACCGGAACCATTTTAAAAGTATCGATTTGGCAACAATATCGGGAAAAAACCCAAACAATACCCAACCCTATGTATATGTGTGTGAATATATATATATATATATATATAGGTATATTAGGGGTGTCGCGATATACCGGTATTGACGATAACCGTGATATTCAAATCATGAAATATAAATATGTTCCATAGGCTACTTTAAAAAGAATACATCGATTAGCAATGGATTATAAATATACTTAATTATTATAAAATACCAGAGACGGCTTGAATAACACAGATAAACTATATTGTCGCAGTTTATTATTATTGTTTATTGTCTTTGTTTTATCATTCAAAATGTTTATATATTCTGTTTACTCAGTTACAGCTATAATAGCTATGTCTTTATCCATATAAGGGATTTCCTGGAGGGTCATGAGTTCTGCTACTTCTGTGACTGGATATGTGTTCTGTGCAACGGCACCCTCTTGCGTCCAGTATGAATGAAGCAGACATCATGTGCTTATAGTGCTAATGGCCA